ACCGTGCAAGTTACATGTCGCTGCGACCGTTAGTTAGCGAGATACGGCCCCGGGAAGCGAGGCGTGTCGGGCCGTCGGCCGTAATCGTGAAACTGGCGTCGCCAAAAATCACCCTATGGGATTTTTGCGTTGTTTTCTTCTCTCGACACGCGCTCATTTTTGCGAAACTCAGAATTTTGACGCGACGCTGCCAAGCGCAGCCGGCGGATCTCGGTCGTGTGCAAATCTGATGCAAACATTCCCTACCATTAAGCCTGTAGGTGAACCAACGGACACAACCAACCGTTCCTTTACTATAGCGGAAGAGTGAATATATATATATATATATATATATATATATATATATATATATATATATGGATGCATACATATACATATACATGAGAGCCAAAACCTTATAGGCGCCAACTGCTCCCCCCGGTCCAGTGGGAGTGGCGCCTGAAACCGGTCAAGCATGCATGCGAACTAAGCAGCACGATATAGTCACACGACTGAATAGCTGAAACCGCACGTTTGCAAGGAATGAAAACTGCTGACACGTGGCTGGTAAGAGAAGACTTCATACCCAACGAATGACGACATGTCAACGATTGGGCTATGGTCCGAAGCGACGTGACCGACGGAACGCCTGTCGGGAGGGGGGAGGGGGAGGGGCAGCTGGTCCCAGTGGTCCGACGTAACCGACGGAACGCTTGTCGGGGGGGAGGGGGGCAGCTGGTCCCAGTTGTCCGACTTGACCTATGAGGCGTCTGTCCGCAGGGGCTAGCTGGTCCCAATGGTCCGACTCAAACTGCACCAATAAAGGTAATTGGTTTTGTTGGCCCGGCTCGAAAGGTTTTGAGCGTTGGCATAAGCCTGCATGCATACGCCCCTTGGCTTGTATGCCAAAGGCACTATGCTACCTTATGAGTAAATATTCAGGATGTATTGTTGCAGAGATGATAGATTTACGATCGGCTTATAGGCATAATGATGCTAATGCCCCCGCAATACTTAGCTACGTACGTGCTGTTAAGCACTGTAACGCTAAAATCTTGGACTAATCCAACAGCACATCAAATGCACAAGTATGCACTTAAACTATAAAAGGGATTTTTATGGCCACTTTGCTGAGAGTGGCACTGTGACGACTTCACACGTCCGCTAATTGTGCTGCCCTCTTGCTGAGCACGATAGTGGCGAGGGCGCCGCCTTCGGAGACCCTCCGGGGCGGCCTCTCCAGGAGCCGCCACTTACCCTGATTAGGTGGACTTCGATCGTTTGGTCCACTTCAACGCAGCTCACTGCTGGACCAGCCGGGGACGCGCGGCGAAGTCGAGACCGCACCCGATGGCCGCTCCAGTGCCTGGGAGCGTTCATGTGAGAACGGTGAGGTCACATAGAGATGATATCCCGAGGCGCCGCTGGAGCCGCCGCCGAGTGCGCGTGGCCGGAGAAGCTCCGTTGAGCCTTAGCCGAGCGATGCAGATCTGCGCGTGATGAGCACTGGGAGCATCCAGCAAAAACAATGTGCATCACACGCCATCTTGCGGCCGCTGCTGATGATCCTCGGCGCCCGGCGCCAGCCGACCTTGCTGCCAGGTCACGTCGCCCGCGGTGCAGAGCTGCGGCATTACGCCGCGACGGGCCCTATATACGCCCGACGAAACACCGCCTCGCCCGACGAGGGGCTCCGTACTGATGAGGGTGCTCCGCGATTGGCACGGCGTAATGATGTTGCAAGTTGTACCATAAAGTCAAGATTTCATTCGACTTTTTATTTTTGCTTTTATTTCAGAGTTTCCCCTTTACGATGTGATAATCATGTGGAGTTTTGACGTTGACAGTGGCCCGATGGCGTTCGGATGTCACCTGGAGCGTAGCTCCATTACGTCAGCGCTTTAGACATGATGCTGTAACCATAGCGTGAGAAAGTGTTGGAAGCTCGAACTCTCACAAACATTCGGTTTCATCGAGAAGTGGTTTGCTTTGTTTGGTTATGTACTTCTCATTAGGTTTTTAGCTCTGTGTCATGGTGGTGCCAGGAAAGAAGCGACCAACGAATCAAAATGTCTCTGTTCCTCCTCTTCGTCCCTAATTCTGGGTAAACAAGCCTCCGTGCTCCTGGTTGTGACAGCGTTACGACTGGAGACAGAGTGCGGAATTGCTGATATTTGGGTGGTTTGTTGAGAAACAGAACTGTTTCCTGAGATCGAAATCATCCGACATGAAGATGATCCGAAGTTTTTTTCGGTAGGCCCAATACTTAAATGATGTAGACGACTAGAAAAAATGATAATAGGCTCTCGAGATGGACGAGGCTGGGAGCAGTTCAGGTTCCTAAAGCAATGTAAGCATCCAGAACGATCCCACAACTTGCAAAATGGTGGGGCCAGACAGACGGATTTCCCAGGTTCGAGGATGTAGGTTCTAATGCAGAGGGCAGTCCGTAACATATTCGAGTGTTTCAAGGAGCCTCCGAGAACGGTCAGGCCCTCAAACCCTGTGCTAAGAAGTCCTGTGAACCACGTGGGGCTGCTCTGGCGACGGCTTAATACTCATCAGTGTGGGCGTCATATGATCATTGTAGTCGGTGCGCTCCAAAGCCCAAATCATCATCATCATCAAAACTCATCAACGTCCGCCTGGTTTTTCGGCCACATCGAAACCCTAGATGGTCAGAGTTGGCGGCGGTCCGAGTACCCGGAGCCGCCGCAGTCCCTGGGCTGCCGGAGCTGCCGAGTCGGTCAAACCGCCGGGGCAGTCGGAGCTGGTGCCGTTTCCGCCGTGGCCGCGACTCGCGGGTCCGCCGGAATCCCCGGCGCCGGCCGGCTTCTGCTGGTCGCCCGGCACCAGGTAACGCGCGGCTCGGACCGGGGGCCGGAGATTACGGCCGCGTGCACGAGCCGCGAGAAGCTCCCGACAGAAGGCGCGTCAGACGTCAAGTTAAGACAACAGGCCAAGGTCATCAGAAGCCGCCGGTGGCAACCGTCAGTGTCCCGACAGGTGGTCGTTGTTAGGCTGGAGGTTGACCGGGATTGATGCTGGCTCGCTCATACGACGGTGTGGTAGAAGAATCTGCGATACCACCGGCTGTGCAGAAACGTGGCGTTTAATCACCTATTATTCAGACTAATCGTAGCATAGTCTCCAGCAGCGTTGTAAACGTGCAGGTGTGCTTGGAAATGAAAAATTGTTGGAAGCGCAAAACGAATTTATAAGGTGGAAGCCGTGATATAACTAAATTTCATTTACTACTGTTTTGTGATAACAATTTATGATACGAGAAATAGCACTATTGCAACTTGGTTTGAACATGAAATTACCATACATTAACATCAAGGTATATTTTTCAGTCACAGAAACGGTCAGCCGCCCACAGGCTAATTGTTGCCGTCGTGTTTTGTGTAATACTCTCAGGCATCCTGGTTGTCGCTAATGCCGCCGGGCTCGCGCACGTACACATTGTCTGCATCGATTGCCGAATCATAGCGTCATTAGGTGCCGGACCAATGGCCGTAGCGTTTGCTCGGCGTAACGTCAGCAGTCGGTGCTCAGTGCCGCCGGCCAGGCTGGCGGCGGCGTACGAGCGAGGCCTTCCCGCCTCCGGCACCAGCTGACACCTGGCAGAAGGGGGGATCGATGCTCGCTGTATGGATGGATGCACGGATGTGGAGATACCAGTTGGATGGATATGCGGACGCGGGGGTGGGCCGGGCGGCAGCGATACTCTGGGAAAATCACTCGTGTGGATGCCATGTGCCCGGTGGCGGGGGTTCGAATCCGATACTCTGGGAAAATCACTCGTGTGGATGTCATGTGCCCGGTGGCGGGGGTTCGAATCCGATACTCTGGGAAAATCACTCGTGTGGATGCCATGTGCCCGGTGGCGGGGGTTCGAATCCGGCTACAGGCGACCTGTTGGCTGTCGGGCCGCCGCCGTGGCGAGAGATCGCGAGGACGAGCGGCAACAGAGATTAAATACCCAATGAGACTGTAACTATAAGTCGTAGTCCAAATATCTAAGTTTATCCAAACTATCACCAGTAGGTGGTGTCAACCATTCGGAGGTTCTGCAGCCACTAGAGTAAATGCAGTTGGACGAATGGCTGGAACGTCACACATTTATGCATGGGTGCACGAGCAGGGATGAATGGATGGGATGGCGGGTCGACGGGCAGAGAGATAGGGAGTCGATGCATAAATGTACGAATCAATGTCGGAAAGCATGACGGGATTCAGAGCTCGGCACTTCATGGGCCATTGAAGAAGCCCACACGGGTTATTGAAAAAGCCCACTGAAAACTTTGAATTTAACCCAACAAAATCAATTGTTTCAGGCATTACTGTTAAACATCGACATTATTTTTGAAGTCTATGTCACTCGCATCTGTTGACCTTTTCTTTGAAATTGATGACGTTACATATGTGTGTGTGTGTGTGTGTGTGTGTGTGTGTGTGTGCGTGCGTGCGTGCGTGCGTGCGTGCGTGCGTGCGTGCGTGCGTGCGTTGTGTGTGTGTGTGTGTGTGTGTGTGCGTGTGTGTGTGTGTGTGTGTGTGTGTGTGTGTGTGTGTGTGTGTGTGTGTGTGTGTGTGTGTGTGTGTGTGTGTGTGTGTGTGTGTGTGTGTGTGTGTGTGTGTGTGTGTGTTGTGTGTGTGTGTGTGTGTGTGTGTGTGTGTGTGTGTGTGTGTGTGTGTGTGTGTGTGTGTGTGTATTTGAGGTGTGTTTTATATGTATGCCTTTGATGTATTCCTGTGTAATCGTTGCTACGAGTGCCCCTTTTAACATGCCTCTCCTCTTAATCTCATCGACTTGACACTCGTGAAGCTACTTTATGCTGTAGAGTGTTTTGAACGTCAATGCATACATACATGTCTCGAACACGGTATATCTGGTCACTGTATACGCGCTTTAGGTCTAAGACGCCTCTCTTCGCTTAGCGTTGGGATTGAATATTTGAGATTGGTGTTTGTCTGACCGTGAGTGTCTGTTAACCCCTTGTCATATCACGTTGTTGCAGATCCAACGCTGGGTTGACAATGACGTGCCCGAGTGATGCAGATAAGGTAAGTACGATGTCTTCTGACAACTTTTCATTCAACGTCCAGGACGTGCCATACCTTATAGCCTGATGATCTTTCCGCACTGCTGATTGCAGTTGGGATAGCAGGCGGGGGTGGATCAACGATTTCGCCACGGCGTGATGCGCAAGTATAATAAGTATCACAGCTTCAATAGCCAACGGAAATGACGTGAGCGACGTCGGCGGCACGTACAAATATGTTCGACAGTTACGCGTAAAAAGTCACCGCCACATACCCGACAGCTGCTCTAGAGCTAATACGCCAAGGATATATCATTCTGTGATATTTGCCTCGTATACAAAAAGTGATTTATCAGGCCGGTACACACGAGCAAGCGAAACGTCCTGGCGCTCGCAAGCACAGGTGGGGCTCTCGGCAGCAGAGTGAGATCCTTCTCACCTCATCGAAAAAGCTCTGGACCAATGTGGAGGGCCCCGGTGGAGGACGGTCAAGAGTGTGGAGGGCCTCGGTGCAGGACGATCAAGAGTGTGGAGGGCCCCGGTGGAGGACGGTCAAGAGTGTGGAGGGCCCTGTAGGAGGACGGTCAAGAGTGTGGAGGGCCCCGGTGGGGGACGATCAATTTTGTGGAGGGCCCCGATGGAGGACGATCAAGAGTGTGGAGGGCCTCGGTGGAGGACGATCAAGAGTGTGGAGGGCCCCGGTGGAGGACGGTCAAGAGTGTGGAGGGCCCCGGTGGACGACGGTCGAGAGTGTGGAGGGCCCCGGTGGGGGACGATCAATATTGTGGAGGGCCCCGGTGGAGGACGATCAAAAGTGTGGAGGACCCCGGTGGAGGACGGTCAAGAGTGTGGAGGGCCCCGGTGGAAGACGATCAAGAGTGTGGAGGGCCCCGGTGGAGGACGACCAAGGGTGTGGAGGGCCCCGGTGGAGGACGATCAAGAGTGGACTGGCCGATTAAGATTTAGGTCCGGGGTGGTGGTACCATAAGGGTTAGCTCTCCCGACTCTGGACCTGTCAGTCTGAGTTTCGGGCCTTACGGCATCCACCTCGCAATGTCCCTGGCAGTCGGTGAGACGTAAATCCCCAGACATTATTTTTAAGATTTAGGTGCACGTGAGCACCATAAGCCCATCTATACTATGGAAAAACCTAAGGCCAACTGGTTCGGCGCCTGAGTGATCGACAATGCCATGACCGGCCAACAAGGAGGCTCCCGTCAACAGTGCAGGCTTCTCAGAGCTGACTAGAATAACTTAAGACTAACGCAGTGGGGCCCCTGAACAATCGGGAGTACCCGGAAGGCTAATAAAGAGGGTCCCGCCAGAGCACAGGACCCTCTGAGTAAAGGGGAATAACTCAAGGCCAGTGTACATGAAGTAATACTTATGTGCGATCGGAAGTGTCCGGGCAGGCTAACAGAGGGCCTTGACTAGAGTGAAGGGTCTTCTACAACAGAGCTCAAACGGAAACAGCACTAGATCAATGTAGAGGCCCCTGACCATCGAGTGCCTCGAAGCGTTACCTTATATGGGACCCAGAACAGCACAGGGCCGTGCGAGAAAGTGGAAAGAACCCGAAACCAATATGAAGGGTCGGTGAACAACCCGTTATACCCAAGCATATGGGCCCGGTAATAGTGTGTAGAGACTTCCTAACGAATGTGAAGAATCCATGGGGGAGCCCTTGATCGATTAAGAGAGCCAGGCATGTAAGCAGATAGTAGAACCCTGCTATGAAGGACCCTCCATTTAGAAAGGAAGTACCCAAAACCCAATGCGCAGAGCGTCGAACAATCGAGTGTGCTCGAGCAGGTTAGCAGATGGCGCCCGACAAAAGCTTAGCGCCCTCCATTCGAATAGGAAGGACCCAAGACCCACCGTGGAAGGCCCCCGAACGATGGAGTGTGCCCTAGCGACCTAACGGATAGGGTATTGTCAAAAGCGTAGGGCCAATGGGATAGCCAATAGGATTACCCAAGACTGAGTGCGTGATGGGTCCGTAAAAGATCGAGTGTGCCTGAGCGGTTTAAAAGATGGGACCCCCGATAGGAGCGTAAAGCCCTCCAAATAAATTAGACGCATATTGGCCCACCTTGGAGGGGCCCCCAACTATCGAGTGTGCCTGAGGTGAGTTTAACAAATGGTCCTCAGCAAGAGCGTAGGGCCCTCCATTCAAATAAGAAGTGCCCAAGACCCAACGTGGAGGACCTCCGAACGAGCGAGTGCGCCTGAGCAGGTTAACAGATGGGTGGCTCCGACAAGAGCGTAGAACCCTCGGCAAGTGACAGCGAATAAGAAGACCCCTAGCCCAATGCAGAGGACCCATGAGCATGTCGCGAGTGTGTCGGAAGGTTAACTGAAACCAATGTGAAGGGCCCCTGAGCAACCCGGAATACCCCGGCAGTTCAACAAATGGGGCCCTTGCTTTAACATATAGAGTCTTTCCGGCGATTGGGAAAAATCCGCGAAAAGCCCCCGATCGACAAAAATACCCCGGCATGTCAACAGAAAGGGCCCCGACAATGGCGGAGCGCCCTGCGAGCAAATGTGAAGAAACCAAGGGCAACGTGAAAGGCTCCTTGGCAATCGGATTGCCCATGCAAGTGGACGAATGGTACTCCCAGGATAATCCAGGACATATAGTGCTCCCAGGATAACGTAATGAGTCTTACAATATCTCAAGCGTCACTGTCTCAGCCAGTGAATGATTATTTGTGTCTGCTTATGGGTCCTTAACTTTTGCTTGCGACTTTTCTTGGTCGCCTGGAAGCCAAAGACATCCAATTGTGTTGCGCTTTGTGCTAAATTTGCGTTTGTCCGGTTGGCTGTGGGCCTCTTCGAACTCTATGGGCCCATTCGAGGCCCAAAGGACGCCATGAACCCGTGCCCCCCCCCCCCCCTTCGATCCGCCCCTGATGTCAGGGATCTTAATGTCGGAGTAATAGCCGTTTCATGGCACGTTTTGTTCCCAAATATAAGGCACATGGATGGGCATGACAAATCGGTCTCAGCCATGTCAAAATAACTATGTCTTCGAACAGCTTTCTTATTTCATGCCGGTGATCTCCACTCCACCTATGTAGTTGCGTGTCATGACTGCGTGCGTTTTTACATAAATGTATTCACATCAATACATGTAACGATAGCAAAGCATTGCAGCAGTAGCCATGCATGAAACAAACATGGATACGCATGCAGTCATGCATGCAGGTATGCATCTATGCATATAATACATGAATGCATACATGCATGCATTTTTTACGTAATGGTACAACCGTAAATATATATATATATATATATATATATATATATATATATATCCATATCGCCACCGTTCCGATGTTTGGGTCAACACTGTCATAAAAAGTTAGGAGGAAAAGGTCAGCATTCCTGGTACCCTGACCAATGCACTGCCATGGCAAGTTTCCTTTGATGGTGAGTTAAGAGAGAGCCAAAGCAGCGTCCTGACGTGCTCCACTGGCAGCTATTTCACGTCACTCATGAAGCGTCCGTTTGACTCCACAGTCTGGGGCCCTCCAGCGTCCGTTTGACTCCACAGCCTCGAGCTCTTCAGCATCCGTTTGACTCCACAGTCTCGAGCTCTCCAGCATCCGTTTGACTCCACAGTCTCGAGCTCCCCAGCATCCGTTTGACTCCACAGTCTCGAGCCCTCCAGAATCCGTTTGACTCGACAGTCTCGAGCGCTCCAGCATCCGTTTGACTTCACAGTGTCGAGCCCTCCAGCGTCAGTTTGACTCGACAGTCTCGAGCCCTCCAGCATCCGTTTGACTCCACAGTCTCGAGCCCTGCAGCGATCGACGCCAGGTGCCAGTGGCTCGACAAGGAAGGAACGGCAGCGGATCTCACCCGCACGCGGGCTGTCTGCCACAAAATGCGCCGTTAATCTCTCGAAGTGCGATCGAAGACGGAAGAGAGTGGTACGAGCGGCGCTGGCGAACTGTTGGGAGCACTTGGGGACCTGTGCGGGCGGTGGACAGTTAACAGGTCACGCTCGAGGAAGGGGTGTCGATGTTTTGTACACTCAAACTGCTGAAGGCATGTGGAAGGCTGACTGATTTTCTGAGTGCACTAACAGGGCTGAGGAAAACTTCAAGTTTTCCGACTTCGATCAATTTACCTGCACGCAGCTTTATCTCTCCTGAAATGTAAGTTCTTCCTTTCATGGTAAGAAGCACGATGGGGATACATCCAACCACCACGTGTGGGAAATATGGGCGATCCCAACCCAAGTGTTAGCTTCTTCTGTGGGACTATCGGGCATTGAAATGCAGATATCTGCTGTCTTAGACGTTACCGGTTTTCTCATCCTCTTCACACAACGCTAGGATATAGATTGACTGAATTGACGTGTCTGGACAATTGAATCATAATAAACTTCCGGATGGAGTTTCCCCTTGCCCACCGGCTTATGAAATAAACCAGCTCTGAGTGCTGCTCGTCTCGTACCAGTGTCCAGCCCACTTCGACACGCGGGGAGCATGCCATCCTCATGAAGTCAAACAACTAGCGGCATGCTCACCACACCCTCCGGTCTGCTTCACACGGCACAAGGCTGGGCGATCCCCGACTGATGCTTCCAATTATTCTAGCATAGTGGGACAAACATTGATCGGCCCTTGAGGAGTAATGGGAGTGCGAACGTGTAACGCTGTTCAAGGCGTTCGGCTGAATTGACCGCAAGTTGTAACTGGTGTCGTGGGCTGTGAAGTCGTAGGTCAACGATTTTCAATTAAGAGACAGGCAGAATCACTTCAAGAGCTAATACTTTCGTTCCTGTGTTTTGTAATGCAATACTGCAAGCAGCAAGCGACCGGCTAATTTGTGGCGCCAGATAATTGCGAGAAGCATCGACGTCTGCTTCAGGAATTAGAGGGTCATTGATCGTTGAAATGTCCACGCCTCCGACGTGTTCACTATGCTGGACGGCTCAGATGACCGTTCACCGCCGGTATTGATCGCTCTCCTAGTTGGTCTCAGTCTGCCACAACGCCGGCTGTTGTT